TATTACCTTGGTCACTGGGGTTTGCCAGATTTCTCAGCTGTACAGTTATTATTTTTCCTTTGCTCACTCTGTTAGTTAAAGTACTCAGTTAAGTCCAGGCACTCAGGTGAGAGGAATTAAGTTCTGCCTCCTAAAGGGAGGGGTATCAGTTGGTGGGCATCTGTTAAAACTAATATGATGGTTAATTAATATGTTAGGGGAGATACTGTGAGGCTATGTAAATATTCATTTCTCTCTGAAGTTTTACCCACTTATTTTAGCATTTTTTGGTGTGTGAATCTTGCCTGTACCAGTTATTACTGTGGGGTTCTAACACTGATTTTTCTGTGTCCCTTTTCTTTTAAATTTATTATTGGAACACTTCTGTAAGGACTGTTCAACCCTTCTCCCTATTTGTTTATTCCAGAGTAAGCAGTCTTTTTCTGTAATGGGCTAGATAGCAAATATTTTAGACTTTGTGGGCCATAGGTCTCTGTCACATGACTAACTATACTCTTTAGTGTGAAATAGCCATAGATACGTAAATGGCTGGGCATGGTTATGTTCCAAAAAATCTTTTTTGTTGTTGTTAATCCTCACCAGAGTAGAAGAGAGGGGGAGAGACAAAGAGAGAGAGAGAGAATCATTGATGTGAGAGAAATACATCGATTGGTTGCCTCCTGCACATGCCCTGACCAGGGCTGGGGATTGAGCCTGCAACCAAGGTACATGCCCTTGGCTGGAATTGAACCTGAGAACCTTCAGTGCACAGGCTGACACTCTATCTACCGAGCCAAACCGGCAGGGCAATAAATCTTTATTTTTTAAAGACAGGCATCAGCCCAGATTTGGCTTGCAGGCCAGCTTCTGATAATTCATTCATTTTTTCTTTATTTTATTCTTGGGGTTATAAATGTAGTACTACCACTGTTTATTTTATTATTCAAATTGTTTCAGCTGTTGCCATTGGGAACTTTTTCAGTGGGCTCCTTAGGCATTCCCCCATCATTTACTTTACTTATTTACTTATTTTTTGAACACTTTCTTATTTTTGGCACTACGAGATCCTCAAAGCTCATTTTTCAAACGAGTAGTAATCTGCTTCGTGTTGATATTTACTGCTGTGTTGCTGACAATTACCTGAAAGAGAAGTTGGGATGCTTCACTGGACTGGAAAAAGTTCAGTTAAATCAGGTCTAATTAAGCAAGTTTATTCTGTATATATAAAGGGCTAAGTTGACTCACCCATGCACGATGCATATAAAGCTCTTGCTGGTACCAGTCGCATGCATGTGCTTCGATCTGTCATTGTCGATTGTGAATTTGGTTGACACTTCTATTATAGAGAAAGGGTGAATAGCGATATTAAAATATTTCTTCTAATTAATTTCCTTTCAATGTGATGAATCTGTGCACTGGGCCACTAGTATTCTAATAATGGTGATTGCCATCATTATTTTTCCTAATGAGATAGCTATCCACTCATCATCATGGCACCACTAATAATGCATCAGAATTCTCTTGCCCCCACCTGCAGTGGAATGGCATGTCATATTAGCTGGGATTACAGAGAGTAAATGTTATTAATGATTTGATTGAACTCTAAGGAATAGTCCATGGTCTCAGATTGCTTGTCTTTGAAATAAGAAGCTGGTGGGTGTGTGTGAGCACAAAGTTTTAAAATATCACCCACGTGGTGGTTAGTAAGTGCATGTAAAAAGGAAGGGGATTGACAGGGTTGTCACCACGTGGAGGGTGGAGGTGGTCCTGTGCAGGTAGGGGATGGAGGCATCAGGAGCCAGCCCCCAGCAACCTGGAGGCCCAGGTCTCTGTTGTCAGCAGGTGTGTGGAGTTAGGGGATAGTGGTGGAGATTCAGGGAGCTTATGAGGAAGAAAGGATTTCTCGGACAGAGAAGGTTGCAGTCCTTCGCAAGATCACGTCATGAATAACATGGGCCTTTATTGGTAACAGAAAAAATTAGAATTCTGGTTCGATTTGTGATCCTTCTGAGAAAACGAGGAGAAGAGGGTCAGAAAACCTACACGGTATGTGAGGGAGGAGATTAAGTCCCCGGAGATGGCACAATCGAAGTATGATGGGGTATGAACTCCTTATGGGCATTTTGGTCTTTCAGAAAAAACAATTGTTTTTCTAAACCTGAAAAAAAAAACTTTAAAAAGATGTTTAAAGTGTGGAGGAAATAATGTATATACCAGCACTTCTGTCCTCTGAAGTTTCATACGTCTTAGAGCAATTCCACTCACTCCTTGTGCTCTGTGGTGTTCAAGGCACTTTACTCTCCCCATTGTATTCCTTTCTTTCTTCCAATTATCTTTCAGGTAGCTGCTGCCATTGCTATTATTATTGTTGTTATTGCTATTACTATTTTACAGATGGAGACACTGAGGGCCAGGGAGGTTGGGCAATTTGCCCAGGGTCATGTGAGTAGAAAGTGGTGGAGCCCACAGTTTTTCCTCCCCACATATCAGACTATTAGGGACAATTCTGTTAATATGGTTTATTTTGGTATTGGGTTAATTTGAGTAGAAATGGTGGTCAAGCCACGCAGTGGATTTGTGGAAGGGACCGGAGGTGAAAGCAGTGGCCTTTCTGTCACCTATAAAGCCACTTGTGACTCTGTGACTCAATCCTCCAGTAATGTGGAGGGGGAAAAACCAAGCTGCCCCTCCCCCCACCTTTGTTGTGGTTCCAGTTAGGGGTGTTGACACTGCACCCTTGCTGACTCCCCAGGCTTCTCCAGCAGCTCTAGTGAGAACCATCTAAGTGGGTGGACTTTGTCTTCTTCCCAGGGAGGCATGGCATATTTTAAGAGGGTCATATTCTGCAGGTAGGGAAACAATCTGTCTTTAGATTACCATCAAGGTTTGTATTCACAGGAGGATTTGCAAAATTAAGTGACCTTTACTTTGGGAATGCAAAACTACTTATTTGTATACTCTCCACAACTCCCCTATGACGTACTGTTATTTCCCCCTTGCTAGATGAGTCATCTGAGGCCCAAAGAGGTTTAGTAACTTGCTCAAGAACACATGATAAAAGGTTTCCCAGGAGATTTAAGCCAGATAGTCTTGCTCTGGGGCCTGTGCTCTTAAATACATATAAGGGGATAGTAGAATCAGGGATGAATAAAATGATGGATAAATGGACTGATGACTGGATGAATGAGTGCTCTCCAGCCAGCATTTATTCCAGAATTCACTTCTCTACTCACCCTTTTACCCATCACCCATTCATCCAGTCATCAGTCCATTTATCCATCCTTTTATTCATCCCTGATTCTACTATCCTCCCATCTGTTTATTCTTACACTACCCATCCATTTTTCCATCCACCCATCCATCCATCCACCTACCCATCCACCTACAAACCTATTCATTGTGTTGGCTCTTTGTCTAGTGTGGTTTTCTGCTTCATCTGGGGAAGAAGTTTCTCCATCTGGGGGCCAAGCGTATGCTTTCTGAGGCTGGAGACCCTCTTGTCAACACCAATTCCTTAGCTCCCAAGTCATACCTGGGCTTGCTCCTGACTCTTGTAGGTTGGTGTTTCCAGGAATGCTGCTTTTTGCTTGTTCACTTTCCTCCCTCTGTCAACCTGTTCAAAGCTACAGGCTCTTCCAGAAACACTCATGACTTCCTGGATATGGTCATAAATGAATATTTAGCGAGTCCCATTCCCTGGCCTTAAGATTGGAAGTTATATTAGTTTTGCATGATTTTACCTTTTAAAACTGTTAGAGTTTGTGTTATACCGCTAAAAGATATTTACTAAACTTAAAACGATGTTCACAGGGCATTTTATAAGGAAAGAAGTTTTAATAGAAGTAAGCCTATTTGATTGGAGATTAATCAAATAAGGAGACAATTAAAATTGTCTATGAAGAAGCAGTATTATGAAGAAGCAGTATGTCTTAGCTATTTGCTTATTTATTAAGTGCAAAGCAATGGAAGTCATTTAATTATTTTGCATAGCCTCTGTTGTGGTAGAAAATCTCAGTGTTCAAAATTTTCTTACTTTTTATTATGGAAAAAATTAAATATAAAAATTTAAACATGTTAACAGTCATATAATGAACCTCCACATACTCATTACCCATCTTCAACAATTATCAACTACAGTAGCGGTTCTCAACCTGTGGGTCACAACCCCTTTGTCAGTTGAACAACCCTTTCACAGGGGTCGCCTAAGACCATCCTGCATATCAGATATTTATATTACGATTCATAACAGTAGCAACATTACAGTTATGAAGGAGCAACGAAAATAATTTTATGGTTGGGTCACAACATGAGGAACTGTATTTAAAGGGCCAGAAGGTTGAGAACCACTGAACTATACAGTATATACCCACTTTTTCCCTCTCATATTACTTTTTCTTCTTATAAGTTTCTAGATTATTACTTAATGTCAAATTTCTATTCTAGAAAAGTATATTATGTTGACATTGAAATATAATAAATGTTTGAATGTATTTGTTTAATTTTTCCTTGAAATTTTGCTTGTTGGGGGTAGAGCATTACAATTTTCTGTCCCTTTTTTAATTAAAAAATTCAAATCTATAGCAAAGTTGAAAGGTTAATAAATGACCCTCACATACCCTTCACCTAAGTACTCTGGTTATTAGCATTAGAACTGGCATTTTCCTAAGTGTGTTTTTCCATGGGTTTACTTGAGGAGATTATCTTACATTTGAAGGTACGAAGACAGTAGCACATGGCTTTACAGCCAGATGGATTTAGGTTCACTTAGCCCTGCACTGTAGGGGAATTGCCCCATCCTCAATCCCTTCATCTATCAAATGGGAGTAATAATAGTATACATACACCCATGGGGTTATACAAGGTACATAATAGGGTCTTTGAAAATATTACCTATCACCTTGCCTCAGTTACACCCCCTGTGTTGCAGCTTGTGGCTCTGAATGGGGGGAATTGGGCTTTGACAAATCAATTCATTTTTATCAATGTGGAAGATTTTTGTTATTGAGAGTTGTTATGGCGTAATGATTAAGAAAATAATTCTTGGGGGAGTGTGGTACCAATCCCAGCCCTTGCCTTTACCAGCTTGGAATTTGGTGAGTGATTTAATCTCTCTGAACCCAAGTTTCCTCACTGTAAAATGGAGTTAGAAAGAATACCTACCGCATTGGGTTGTTGTCAGGATAAAAGAAAATGGGCACATCCATGCCCAGCATTTAGTGTAATGTCTGCCTCATATGTGCCCAGTGCATGTTACTAATCATTAGTATAATTATAAGGATACATCAGCATAGTGCCTACTATATAAATGCTCAATAAATATTATGTATTTATTAATTATCATTATTATTCTTAGTAGTAGCAGCAGCAGCAGCAGCAGCAGTAGTAGTAGGGGTGAAAAACTAATAGCAAATTGGCCTTTGAAAGTCTGATTCTACTTTGGTGCAATGAAAAGAATAAAGATCTTCAATGAAAACTTGCCATGTGATTTCAAGCAAGAGTAAGCCTTGGATGGATGGACAGACAGATGCCACCAGCTAGGCATAGCGTCAGTAAATCATGGGAAATGACCATGTACCTTGGGTTCCATTCAGTGATGTCCTAAAATAAACCAGCCACCTTGAACGCTCCTGAAAGTGTCACGGGCGTTGGACAGCTTGCCCCCTGCCCCCTGCCCCCTGGCCAGGACGTAGCCTCTGTCCTGAGGGCTTTGTGCTGTTCTTGTTGTCTGGGACTGATTTTTTCCTTTCTCTCTTTCCTGGCTCTCATTTTGTATCCCAGGTCGAAAGGATTGTAGACAAAAGAAAGAACAAGAAAGGAAAATGGGAGTATCTCATCCGATGGAAAGGCTACGGGAGCACAGAGGACACGTGGGAGCCTGAGCACCATCTGCTGCACTGTGAGGAGTTTATCGATGAATTCAATGGGCTGCACGTGTCCAAGGACAAGAGGATCAAGTCAGGGAAGCAGGCCAGCGCCTCTAAGCTCCTGCGCGACAGCCGAGGCCCATCAGTGGAGAAACTCTCCAGTAGACCCTCAGAATCTGGGAAGAGCAAGGGGACTTCTCATAAACGGAAGCGAATCAACCCTTCCCTGTCCAAGCCGAAGAAAGGGTATCCAGCCAAGCCCGCTGCGGCAGGTGACAGGGCCGCCAAGACGGTGTCTTACAGGACTACCCCCAGTGGTTTGCAAATAATGCCCCTGAAAAAGGCTCAGAATGGAGTGGAGAACGGGGACACTGGATCCGAGAAGGACGAGAGGCACTTTGGAAATGGGTCCCACCAGCCCGGCTTGGATTTGAATGACATTGGAGAGCAAGACCTGGGCGAGTGTGACATCAACCATGCGGCACTGGCAGAGAATGGGCTCGGTATGTGGCTTGTCTTTCTCCTGCATTTGGCTCCAGTCATGGCGGGTGGGGGCTTTGCATGCACACACAAAACCCCCACCTGTCCCTGACTCTTAGCGAGGCAGTAATTATCTCTTGGTCTCTCTCACCTAGGGCCATGTGGACTTGGCTATGTGTCCATATTGGTTACAGACACCCATGTATGTAGGGGAGGGCAGGCCAGTGGTACTCCAGCCAAGGCCTGGAACGGGTCCAAAATTCCTTATTGCACTTGAAGACACCCGGGGCCATGGTAACCACAGGTTCTCCTGTGAAGGCAGCTCGAAGTTCTCACCCACCAGGATCCGAGACTCATGTCCCCAGAGGGACAGTGCCTTTTTGGGGCAGCACACACCTCTCAGAGCCCTTGCTTTCAATCTTCACAGAGGTGAAGGGTGGGTTGGGGTCTGGTCCTCCTCAGACCCAGTTTGGACTTAAGTTCCACTAACTCATTTTTAAGCGGGAGCCTCTTGCCCCTCATCTATAGCTAACATGCATGACCTTTCCCCATTTCTGAGTTACGTCCTACATATGCTGCCCCGTCCCCATCCTGGGCACATTCTTTTGGTTGGCCCCTAACTGCTTACTCCATCCTGGAAATAACAGCAAAGATGATAGAATTCCTCTCTCTTACCGAGTCCAGTCCCCAAAGGCAAACTTAAAGACAGAGGTGGCAATAACCCAGGTAATTCAAACTTCCAAGCCTGACATTTTTCCAGTAGTCACATTGCTCCCAGACTGAGTCCTTGTGGCTGAGGTTAGCTGTGTGTACCTTCCGCGTGCACTCCCCCAGTTCTTGGATACCTGTGTGTCTGTGTGGTGGCATTTTTTCCCTTAGCTGCCCGAATCCTGAGCCTTGGGATATCAGGAAAGCCTGCACGAGTGTGGAGTGCCTGTGCCCAACAGAGTAGCGCCATCAGTGGCCTGGGTGGAGCAGGGTGTGGGTGGGAACGGGTGCGAGGATGCCAGTGGCATGGGCTGGAAGAGCTCCCGGAGGGATGGGTGATGGTGCTTTCAGAGTTCCGAGTGCTCAGCCTGCCCCGCTGGGGAGAGTGTGATGTCCTTAGGGACTCTTGCTGGGGAATCTGAGCAATCACTTGAAGGTTCCTCTTTCTCCAGAGAGGAGTCTCACCCAGTCAGCATTTATTTAGCAGTCTCTGCCCCAGATTGATTTCCATTTCCGCCTGGGGATCCCTGATGCTGAGATGACTCTGTCTGCTACCATATGTAAACGCTGTTTGCTTAAAAAATTCATCTTTCCAGGAGGAATGGGCTCGTGTAAATGAGGCCTGGCACAAACATCCGTGTTTGATGCTCCTGTGACAACTGCTGGCAGTAGAGGAATTCCCTGTCTTGGGGAGGGTGGCTGGCGAGGGGAGCTTCAGAGGCTCCTGGGATGCAGACAGTAGAAATCTGGGCATGATTCCTCATATCCCAGCTGGTAGAAGTGCCCTGTCCTGCTCACTTGTGTGGTCACTGGGGTGATAAATGCCCCAACCACTGTCAGCCTTTAACACTCCGGTGAGAACTAGCTTATTGTTCAGGTCTTGAGGTAACTGGGGAGAGGAAAAGACTGGGAATCCTTTCTAGAGAGGGTGGTTTGGGGTTCTTGGACAAGACCCAAGGCAGAAAGTGTGTTGTGGTTCCAGAACTTTCCAGCAACGGGTCAGAGGTATAGTCAAGTACGTGTTTCCACTTATGTTTTCAACAAGAGGGAAGCCTTGATGAAGCAAGTCAGTTCTCATGTGGAACAAATGTCCTCTTCCTCCTCCTCTTTTACCCTCCTCCCCCTTTCCTGACCACTTTTACCAAAGGGTCCAGTTTCCAGTGACACAGGGGTGAGCTGATGGGGTTTTCAGCACCGAGGAGGGCTCCTCTTTGTCTAACAGATGAGGAGGAAGGTGGCTGGGGAGATCCTGGCTACACTTCCCCAGCATTTGTTTTGGGGGTGGGCTGTTGCTTTTTATATGATTTTAACTTCTCTTTGGTGGATTAAGGTTCTGCATACAGAAAAGCAAATTATGTAACACGTTACTCATTTGCTGCTGACTTCCCTGATCTGTGCTGTGGGAACAAGTGCTAAATTGGGGCTCCGGAGGGTGGTGTTTTGGTTTCAGGCTGCATTCTCCCCAGCAGTGTTGGTGAAGCGACTCAGTACGGCTCTTGATTCCAATTTTTCTTCCATAATGGCAGTCGGCCCTGTGGTCCAGGGACCATCTGCCTCAGTATCCCTTAGGGAGCTTGTTAAAAATGGGCTCCACCCCAATTGAATGAATCGGGATCTCAGGAGATAGGGTGGGGGTTCTGCATTGTAAACGCTGAATTTTAATGGCCCTGGGTATGTATGTATGTAGTTCCTGTGGATGCGTTTGGTTGTAAGTAATGGCTTATAGATCCCCTGGGGTAGATCCAAAGATAATGCTTGGATTTTCACTTTGTAAATGGGAATGTGATTTGGTCCTTCAAAGTTTAAAACCCGACATAATTCCTTCTTGCTGCTGCACTTCGTACCAGGCATCTCTTTTTATTCTAAAACAGCAGTTTCATCTGTATGGAAAAACTTTCGGTTAGCTAACGCCCGTGGTCTGGTCCAGGAAGACTGGTTCGTGCTGTCTGGCCTAAATAGGCGCTAGAGCAGTGATGGCGAACCTTTTGAGCTCGGCGTGTCAGCATTTTGAAAAACCCTGACTTAACTCTGGTGCCGTGTCACATATAGAAATTTTTTGATATTTGCAACCATAGTAAAACAAAGACTTATATTTTTGACATTTATTTATATATTTAAATGCCATTTAACAAAGAAAAATCAACCAAGAAAATGAGCTCGCTTGTCACCTCTGACACGCGTGTCATAGGTTCGCCATCACTGTGCTAGAGCATCGATACTTAACGGACTCAGGTGGGCCTTTCACCCGTGGAAACATCCTTAACTAGGAACCAACCTGTCAGTCTGAACCCCAGCACAACGCACAGATGCCCAGCATTCTCCGAACTCCCATGAAGCCAGTGAGTTTCCGCTCCTGATGCTGAGCCTGTGGCCCTGTGTTAACATTTCAACGAATTTGAGATCATTTTCCTTGTGTCCTGAGACTGCTGTCTGTCGCCCAGGCACTGCACGATTCGTGTTGTCAGAATTGTTCCTCTCATCGAGTGAGTCAGCCCACACCAGCGTGCAGCATTTGCCATGTTTTCTCCATTGATCTTTAAAATTATCTCAGCTTTCACTTGTATAATGTTTATTTATCTCTTCCTACTCCCTCTTTCAATGTGATTATAGTTTTTTCCTTTGTTGAACATAAAGGAGTTCCCATGTTTTAACAGCACTTCAGAACTGAGCGTGAGCATGGGACATGCCCTGGGATTTTCAAGAATCTAGGGCTCTGGAACAGCAAACCAGTATCAGATCCTGGGGGAGGGGGTTGTGAAAACACAGATTACTAAAATGGAAAAAACAAATAAGAAAACAAACAAAAACCCCCACTCAGACGGCTGTGCCAACCTCAGAGTTTCTGATTTAGTAGGTATGGAGGGGGGCTGAGGTCCTGCATTTCTAGCAAGTTCCCAGATGCTGCTGCAGGGCCAGGGACCCAGTTTCAGAACCACTGCTCCAGGCAAATAAGCACCAGGATGGTTGAGACGAAAATGACAGACAGTGACTGAGAATACCAGTGGGTGGTGACAGACTCAGAGGCACAGAGAACAGACAGACGGATGTCAGAGGGGAGGGGCTTCGGGAGCTGGGTGAGAAAGGTAAAGGGATTAAGAAAAAACAAACAAACAACCTCATAGTAACAGACAACAGTGTGGTGATTATCAGAGGGAAAAGGTGGAGAGAGGAGGTAGAAGAGGGTAAAGCAGGGGATAAATGGTGATGGAAGGAGACTTGACTTGGGGTGGTGAACACACAATACAATATAGATGATGTGTTACAGAATTGTACGCCTGAAACCTCTGTAATTTTATTAACCAAGGTCACCCCAATAAATTCAATAAAAAGAAAAACAAGGAGAATACCGGTTGGTGGCATTGGGGAGATTTGAAGCACCTTTGGCCTGGACCTTGAATTTGTTTTCTAAATGGAAAGTTTGAGAGTATGAGAATGATGAGGACTTGGAGTTTACAAAGTACTTTTCATGATCCTTAGAGTAGTCCTAAGTGGTAGCTGTTGATGTACCCGCTCCATCGAGGAGACGGAGGTTACAAATGTTCAGGTGGGATTAGAAGAGAAACCCAGACAGAGTTGGCCCCCAGACCACTGCCCAGCCGGTTCCGCACACGAGCCTCGAACAGCCCCGGGAGGGCTGGTGGGGCAGGAGCCACTTCTTGGGCTCACCCTTTTGCGTTTCCCTGGATGCATATAATCCTTCCAAGCCTGAGATACTATGACTAACTCTATGCCATTCAACTTGAAAACCTGGATAAAATGGTCAGTATTCTAGAAAAATGCAACTAACAAAACAGACACAAGGAGGACTGGAAAACCTGAATAGAGCAGTCACTATTGAAGAAGTTATTAACTCAGCCACTACAGAGCCCTCATATAAAAGCAGGGGAGAAGTCACAGAAGGCCCGATGGTTTTATAGGCAAGTCTGCCAAATATTCTAGAACAGATAATCCCTCTCTTATCCAAATGGTTGCAGAGAACAGAGAAAGAGAAAGCACTACAACTCCTTTGATGAGGCCAGTATCACCTGGATTTCCGACCAGATGGGAGGAGAAGCAAGGAAAATTATAGGTCAGTTTCACTTGAAGATACAGTTGTCAAAGTCCTGAATAACCCTCCTGGGCTTACTACCATCTCCTTGGTACTTCCTCAAAATCATGACTGTGCCAGAAACTTCTCACTCTGTGCCCTGAACTTGACCCCAGCTCATGACCTTTAGAATCACCATGGCTTCTGAAGGTGCCCAGCTTGTCCCTGGAGGAGGCCTAGGGGAGCTGGCTCAGGGCAGCCCATGTGTCATGGGCAGTGGCCCCAAGA